AGCCTCACCACATCTCTGCCTCCAGCACCCAGAGCGGCCACAGATGGCAGTGTCTCTGGGGACGGCAGCTGCGACTGAGTCCCTGGGCTGGCGCTGAGCTGCTCAGACCGAGGCGGTGTGCTCAGCGCAGAGCCCTGGCGCAGGCATCTGCAGGGAGTGAGGTGGGTCTGAGGGCACAGTGGGGGGGCACTGAGTGATGCCAGTGGGGTGGGAGGCGGGGAGAGGGGCAGGCCCTCAGCTGGCATGGGCCTGGACGATCTTAGAGATCATCTGGCGGTCTCCATTCCCATCGTGCGGTGGGCAAGGGAAGCCTGAAGTGCAGAGACGGTGAAGAACGGTCCAGAGTCCCACAGAGGGCAGTGTTTTGTGTGTCCATCTAGACCGGTCCCCCAGGACGCCGGGGAAAGGTCTCGGGCTCCTCCCTCTGACCCAGAATGCCTGGGATTTTGTCCATGGGGTCGGAGAGGTTGGGGACCCTGAGCGCTGCGTCACAGGTCTACAGCACTGCAGCTAAAATGGGCTCTGTTCTGCCCCAGCCTCCCATTTGCAAGTTGAAGCCGGAAATAAATGGTGGAGGGGGGCGGTTCTGGCTAGGCCTGGGAAGAGCTCAGGAATCACCTTGGCCTTCAGTCAAGCTGGTTGGGATCAGCCTCCCCGCCTGAGGGTCCCTTCCCTCCTCCCTCCCCTCGCAGCCCCAGCCACTCTGAACTCTCTCTCTCTGCTTTCCAGCGCGGTGGCTGGGTAGGAGGGCGGGGGTCCAGCAAGCTGCCCCGCCTCCGTGTGCCATCCTGACTCTGGACAGTTAGAGCCCTCTTTATTTCCTTCCTCCACGAATAGGGCACCTGAAGCTGCTGTCCCTGTTTCAGAATAGCCACTGGGGACCCCGGGGTGAGAGAGGCGGAGCAAGCCCCACACGGGTGCCAGAGCAGGAAGCAGCAGCCCCCCTTCCCCCCAGAGTCGCAGCCTACCTGGAAGTAGGGGGGCAGGAAGAGCTCAGATCTGGGGACAGAGGACCTGGGGCTTTTCCTCAGCCTGCTCTGAAGTCATTTCATCCATCCTATGCTTCCCAGCCCCAGAAGAGGGGGCAGGGTTGTCTCTGTCCATTTCAGCCCGCTTAGGGGTTTCTCTCTGCCTGGCAGAACTCGAGCCTCAGGACATCCGCGGGGGTTGGGGTGTCTGCTTCCCAGCGGGGTAACGCACAGCAGGTGAGCCTGTGAACTGTGGACAGTGACACCTACCCCATGCGCCTGTCCTGAGGTCTGGGGCAGAAGGGCCTCCCCAGCCCACCGATTTCTTCCGCCCAGCGAGGGTTTAGGGGTGGGGTAAATGGCCCTGCCATTTCCGTTCCTAGAGATGATCTGTGATCTGGCTTTTGATGTACAAATGGGGTGATGAGAACAGGTGCAAACGGGGGGCTGCGTACCATGCAGGTGCACCAGGTGACCAGCAAGCGCTACTGTAATGGCAGGCAGGGTGGGCCATGGGACAGGGGAGCTGGCACTGAGTAGGCAGAGGCAGCTTGGGGATGTTCTAAGGAGTCCTCTGACCTAGGTACTGTTATGACCCCATTTTATAGATGTAGAAACCAAGGCCCTAAGCTTCCTGACTATTTGGTGCTTGCATCCAAAGCCTTATAATTATGAAACTGGGCCATGCAGACCTGGTCAAGCAGGTGCTCTGGGATGGCCATGTGTTCACCACGCCTTTGCCATGCTACACCTGGGATGCCAGGAGTGGGGGCAGCCACTGCAACTGGGATGAAAGGACCCAGCCCGGGCACTCAGGTGCAGGGAAATAGAAGGAGGCATTGTGCCACCTGCCCTCCTTGACTGAGTGACCCTTCCAGGGATTAGGCACCTCTTGGAACCCTCAGAGGACCTCTGTTAGTTTCCTCTACCACAGGGGAGGAAGTGGAGGCCTGGAGAGGTTAGGCATCTTGCCCCAGGGCACACAGGCTGGGGAGGGCGTAGCTGAGCGTAAGCCGGATGTCCCTGTGTGTGTGTTGGGGACAGGTGCGTGCATGGTCAGGAGCTCAGGCTGCTGAGTCAGCGAGTGGTCTCCATCAGGCGCGCCCCCACTCTTCTAGCCTTCGGTGTCCCCATCTGTAAAGTGCTGTTTGGGCCTCCTCCTGGCTCTGTGACCCTGGGGTCTCTCTCTCTCTCTCTGGGTGGGCTCCTCCGCCAGCCCTCACGGCCCGTGTCTCAGCAGCCAGAGCCGCCGCGATGCCACACTTTCTGGACTGGTTCGTACCTGTCTACCTGGTCATCTCCGTCCTCATCCTGGTGGGCTTCGGCGCCTGCATCTACTACTTCGAGCCGGGCCTGCAAGAGGCGCACAAGTGGCGCATGCAGCGCCCCCTGGTGGACCGTGATCTCCGCAAGACGCTGATGGTGCGGGACAACCTAGCCTTTGGCGGCCCGGAGGTCTGAGCCCTCGCGTTAGGGCGGCAGGCGCTGGCGCTGGCGCTTGGCACTTTCTCCCTCCACACTCCCCCACAACCCTGGATTCCCTTGAGGCGGGGGAGGACGATCCCTCGGTTCCACAGGTCATACCCTCTGCAGCCCAGGCTCTCCCACCAGTGGGCCCTGGTGCTTGGGGAGGCCCCTGGCTGCGGCGTTGGGACACCCCATGCAAGCCAGCTCACCCCAGGCCCGCTGTCCTGAGCGCTGGGCACATCTCCCACGGGCCGCAGTGCCTTCGTGCTTCCCAGCACTCTGTCCCTCCACCTGGAGTCAGGTGTGGCTGCCCCTGCCTGCCCTGAGCCTCCAGAACCCCCTTTCTGCACAGAGCCCCCAGTTAGGCCCAGCTCCCCCTCTGCACCCAAAGACACGGGCCCTGTAGCTGCACTTGGGAGCCGGGGCTTGATGCTGGCCTGGGGAAAGGGTCTCATTTGGAAGGGAGCCAGCGTGGTCCAGCCTGGCCCCAGCCCCTGGGCTCAGGCTTGGAGTCTGAAAGGGTGCGCGGGGTGGGCGGGGGTGTGCAGAGGGGTGAGAGAGCAGAAGGCAGGGGTGTGCGTGCTTGTGTGAGTCGGGGACAGGGGTGTGAGGACCGTTCTGCTGGCCTTTCCTGCCCCTTCTGCTCCCCCTAGGCTGAGGTGGTGGGCTGGAGCCCCTGCCTGCCCCAACCCCCACCCTATGCTGCACTTTCAGGGCGAATCCCAGTCCCTCTGAGCCAGAGCTTTACCCCCAAACCCCCAAGCCCACCCTGGAAGCCTCCTGCTGTGTGTAGCCTTCAAGGCCTGCTTTGACAGAGTGGTAACCCACTGCACTCCTCCCCTGGGGCTTCCGTCTTCCTTTATTTGCAATAATAAAGACTTCCTGACCATCTTTGCAGGACTGTCTCCATTTTTTTTTATAATTAATTACTTTTTCTGAGATAGGGTCTTGCTATGTGTTCCAGGCTGACACTGAACTCACTAGGTAGGGCAGGCTGACTTCAAACTGATGGTGACCCTCCTGCCTCATCCTCCTGAGGTGGGATTATAGGTCTGGGCCACCACGCCTGGCCCTGTCTCTGTTCTTGCAAGTAGGATTGTGTCTATCACCTCACTGGGTCCTTGTGAAAACTATGATAGCTCTACAGTCCCCACGTTAGGGGTGGGTCACCAAATCTCAGGGAAGGTTGAGCAGGGTTTCTTTTTTTTTTTTTTTGAGCAGGGTTTCTTGACAGCAGCACACTGACACACTGGGCCAGCTCACTCTTGGTTGCAGGGTGCTGTCCAGAGCACTGTAGGACGCCTAGCATCCAGGGTCTCTAGAGGACTAGAGACTGGCATCATCGCTCCTCCTCACATCAGGACAAACTAGTGTTACGTGGAAGCCCTGGGGTAGAGTGTTAGTTAGGATATAGATTCAGGCACCAACATGCACAATGCACTAACATGCTTTAGAACCAAACAGAATTTTTATCTTTGTGGATGGCACAGTCCACAAAGATTGTGCAGAGTTGGTTTAGTGGCCATTTGGTCAATACTTAGTCACAGGACTCCCTAGCTGCAAGAGAGGCTGGGAAATATGTAACCTTTACTGGGCGGCCATGTATACAATTGAAAAGCTCACCTCTGAAGTTAGGCGTGATGGTGCACGCCTCTCATCCCAGCACTCTGGGATGGTGAGGTAGGAGGATGGCAAGTTTGAGCGTAGCCGGGGCAATTTAGCAACTCAGTGAGACCCCATCTCAAAATAAAAATGGGAGGCTGGGGATATAGCTCAGTGGTGCAGTGCCTGCCTGGCAAGGTGAAGTCCTAAGTTCGATCCCTGGTACTCCCCCTCTCCCAATTTAAAACAATAACAACAACCAAAAAGAAAAAAAAAAGAAGGGCTGGGGATGTAGCTCAGTGAGAAGATTCTGGGTTTAATCTTCAGCACTGAAAAAAACAAAAACAAAACACCCCAAAACAAACCCCCAACATCTTTAAAGTGGGAGAATATGAAGACCAATTTATTTGAGTAGGGATTTGCCTGCGGCCACAGGACACTGGGCTGAGATTTGGACCAGATCTCCCGACCCTGGGTGAGGGCTCCTGTTCCGTATCCTGGGAGGAGGAGGGATTAGGCCGCTGTTTCTCCCGGGGCCGGAGGCTGCACGGCTGTTTTGCAGAGCTGCACGAGGGTGAGGCCACACAGGCACCTCAAGGTCACACTGGGTGTCTCCTTCAATTTGTCCCTGGGCACCTTGCTTGCTTCGCCCTATGCCCCACCCTCCCTCCCTAGCCTGGCACCCGGGAGAGCTGTCCTGCTGCTCGGGAGAGCCCCCACCCCTCTCCCCACACCAGGGGGCCACCTGGCCGGAATCATCGCCCCTCACTACCCCCCAAGACCCTTCAGATCTGGACACCGGGGCCTGAGGATGTTATTCGAGTCTGTCTGTCTGTCTGTCTCCCTCTCTTTCTCCCTCTCCAATTCCATCCTCACTGACCATTATGGACAACAGGGCCACTTGTCTGTGGCTCTGGCTCAGGTGTAGATAGCTCAGGGCACGGATCCGTTGCTCTTCCTAGGTCAAATGCCCATTTCAAACCAATCACGCCAGGCTGGGGCAGGGTCCTCTGTACGGGCCGGCTCGGGCCAGGGCGGACCTGGACGGCCAACATGGCCTGGGCTTGCTCATCTCATTAAAAGGCAGCGCGAGTGCAGTAGGTTCCAGGAGGCAGTTTCCCGATGAGGAATGTCCTCTCCCAGCCCCGCCACATCCAGCAGGCCCTTGCGGGTGAAGCCGAGTTTGGTTTGTCTCACATCTTGCTCTGCAAAAACACAAATTGACTGCCGACATTCGAAGGTCAGGAGATCGCACGTTAACACCCCCTTTTCTGACTGCTCTTTAAAAATAGAAATTCTAGCCACGCTCAGTGTGAAATGTGAGCGTGTCCACAGCTACGAACTTCGCACGGTGGCGGGAGAGTGTTGACTGTGAAGTGGCCTTGAAGCGGCCAAGCCCCACAGGGTTCCCCAGGCACAGGGTTCCCCAAACTTCTGCACTGACGTCTGGGTCCCGCCCGTCTTCTCCCTGGGAGAAGTGTACTCACACCTGCTCTTCCCACAGGGGACCCAAGGAGGTTTCAGCTGGAGGAGTCGCTCCCACGAACGCTACAAGGAGATATAAACTCCCCCACTTACCATGGTTCAGCTTAACCATTTTTCAGCTCCGTGGTGGTACAACCGCATCGTGAATGGAGAAGCACCTTATTCTAACTCTGGCGCCTGTAATGCGGCTGTTCCCTCTGAGCTTCCTGACCGCCAGAGGGCAAGAGGAAAGCCGGAGAGGTCATTTTGTTCGTTCATGTGATGAAAGGGAGAGGTGGACTCTGTGAAAGACAAATTTTCTGCTTTTTAGTATGAAAAAGAGGCTGTGTATGGGGGCGCATGCCTGTAAGGCCAGGCTGAGGCAGGAGGATCGCTGTGAGTTTGAGGCCTGCCTGTGCTGTTCAAGGCCAGCTTGAACTACACAGTGAGACTATCTCGACAAACCCTCCAAAATATGAAAAAGAAATCTCTCAGATGGGACATTAAGGGCTCTACAGCTAACTCCCCTCACCCACAGAGGCAGGGCCTGGGCACCTGCTGGGCTGTGTAGCAGGGCTGCACCAGGAGCAGTTTGAAGTCAAAACCCGACAAGAGCGAGTCCTAGGATGCTGCCCGTTTAAGCTGCCCAGCCTTGTGCTTCTGTGTGCCAGGCTCTGAGATCACAGATGACCCGGGCCCAGTGCCGGGCATTGCACTGAGCTCACCTCAGGTTTATTTTCATTTTCCTCCTGCTCTGCCAGCCTCACTGGTGGTGGCCACTGTCAAAGGAGACGGTGGGGAAGAAGATGCTGAATAAATGCTGAGCGTCTTGTAGCCGCCCTCTCGAACCCTACAGAGGTGAGTAGGGTACCCGCTCCCTGCCCCCACCCCCGCACTAGGCCTGGCACCAAGGATACAAAGATAGAGATGCAGCCCCTGAATCCAAAGAGCTCGCAAGCCGGAAGCAGGCGAGTACGCTGTAAGTGAACTCTGTGCAGAAACTGGAAACAGCTGGACACCTGACTCCTGGCCCGGTGCCATGGTGTACGTCTGTAATGCCAGCACTCTGGAAGGCTGAAGCAGGAGGGTTGCCTGCTGGAGCCCAGCCTGGGAACTTAGTGACTTAATGAGATTCTGTCTCAAAAAACCAACCAACCCACCACCCTATCCAAAAGAATGCCTGGCTCCTAAGGAAGCAGGCTGTCAAAGAAGGCTTTCTGAAGGTGAGGACTCCAGGCAGGGGAGCCAGCCTCTTGTGCTTGCCAGGCACTCTACTGCTGAGCTATATCCTAAGCTGGGTTTCTTCTTTTTTTTTTTTTCCGTTACCGGGAATGGAACTCACAACCTCGCACTTGCCAGGCAGGCACTGTGCCACTGAGCTAAATCCCCAGCCCCTAAGCTGGGTTTGGAAGGTTGACTAAGAGTCTTCTTCCCTGTAAGGGGAAGAGACATCTGCCATTGCAGAGTCGCAGGCTACGGCCAGCTCATTCCTGAGAGCAGGGAGTGGCGTGGGTGAAGCACACTGTGCTAGTGTTTTAAAGGCTTCAGGAGGGTTTGCAGGGTCCTGGAGCTTTTCTTTCCCACCACCTGGGAGCCTTCAGGGAGGGAGGGGCGGGTGTGTCTGGGCTTGGCCGGGAGCGAGGGACAGAAGGGGGAATGCGCAGGGTCCCCGCGTGGGAGTGGCTGCAATGTTCGGACTCTGGCGGGAGGGCGGCATAGGCTTCTCATTGTTCTGCCCCCGTGGCTCTCCACTCTGGCTGAGCGGGAAAGGATCCGGGAGGAGCGAGCCCAGCTTTGGGAGAAGGCAGAGGCTGCGGACTTCCTCAGAAAACCTTCACAAAAGGGGCCTGGTGGTGCACACCTGTAAACCCAGCACTCGGGAGGCTGAGGCAGGAGGGTCGCCATAAGTTCAAAGCCAGCCTGGGCTCCATAGTGAGTTCAAGGCCAGCCTTAACTACATAGCAAGACCCCATCTCAACAACACGCAAACAAAACAAAAAAACTAAAAGACCCTCACAATCTCAGTCAACAATCCTTCCAGAGGACTCCGGGTGGAAGAGCTTCTGAATTTGGGGCTGGAAACATAGATGTACAGCCACCGCCACACTGTGTGAACCGTGGTGAGTCCATCTCCCCATGTGGCTCTGAAGAGCTGGAACTGTGTGGATGGCAAATACACAAGGGAATCAGAACTCCAGGGCAACAGGTTTTCTTTTCCTAGACTGACCCCAGGTGTCACACATACTAAGCGCGTGCTCTGCCACCGAGTCACACTCCAGCCCCAGAGGAAACAGTTCCAGAGCTCTCGTGGATCGAGCTCATTGCACGCTCACGACAGCCCCTCCACCAGCCTGGGGCCTGGGCTGAAGGTGACATGAAGCAGAGTCCTGGCTGACCAAAGTAGAGTGGACAGGAGGCAGGAGTGAGCGCCTGGCCTTGGGGGTTGAAAGCCCCGTGACTCCGGGGTGAGCTGTCACTAGCTTAGCTTAAGCAGCCTAGCTTGACACATCCCACCTGATCCCATCCTCACCTTACAGGAAGGAAACGAGCTCAGAGAACAAGTGCCTTGTTCAAAATCATGCAGCTCTAAACAAACCCAGGGTGGAGAGACCCTGGGGCCTGTCCTTGTGTGGGGGACTCACCTTAGGACGTTGGAAGTCTCTGTTCTCTGAGGCCACTTCCAGGCTTGAGTCAGTCTTTGCTGGGAAGGACGCCTATAGACGGAAGGTCATCATTTTCACTTTTGGCCACCAGAGGGCAGCTGACACTCAATACCAGGAGAGAACAGGTTAGGAAAATTCATAGGAAGAACTCAGATGAAAGAATGGTATCCTTATCCTTAAAGCAGCAAGGACAGAGTTCTAGATCCTTGAGCTAGAAGAAACCACATGAGCATCCCTACTTACAAAGGCAGCTGAGAGCCAGGTGTGGCGGCATACGCCTATAATCCCAGCACTCTGGGAGGCTGAGGCGGGAGGATCACAAGGTCCAGCTCAGCCAGGGCAATTTGGCAAGACTTTCCCTCAAAATAAAAAATTAAAAAGGGGGCTGGGGATATAGCTGAGTGGCACAAGTGCCTGCCTGGCAATCGCAAGGTCCTGAGTTTGATTCCCGGTACCAAAAAAAAAAAAAAAATTAAGACTAAAAAGTAAAAAAAGGGCTGGGGAGGCAGCTCAGTGTAAAGACTCTGGGCTCAATTCTCAGGGCCCCTTTCTCCCAGGCAACTGCGGCTCAGGAGGGCAAGAGATCTGACAGGAGTCACACAGGAAGTCGCTGGCCAACGTGGGCAGAGGACCCAGGTTCCCCGACTCCGAGGTGTGCTCACCTGGGAGAGGTGAGCCCAGCTGAGTCCCCAGCCCTAATCTGCCTCAGCAGAACTGGTCTGTCTCCTCCTGCAGCCACCTCTGTGCTTCCTCCCAGCCTCAGAGAAAGGGCAGGGAGAACCCACACTTGCAGCAGTTTGCCCTAGTAACCAGAATCCAGCCACAGAATAAGATAAGCGAGGAGGATCCGAGGCCCACATACTCAGCACTCAATCATTTCGTTCATTCATTCATTTATTCTACAGAAACTCACCGAGGCTGATTCTTGCCAGAAAGGAATAAAATCCAGGCCCTTCAGAAAGATGCGAGCTGGGCGTGGTGGCATATGCCTGTAATCCCAGCACTTGGGAGGCTGAAGCAGGAGGATCTTTGTGAGTTCAAGGCCAGCCTGGGCTACAAAGTGAGCTCAAGTTCAGCCTGAACTGCATAGCGAGACCCTGTATCAAAAAAAGACAAGAAAAAACAAAACAAAACAAAACTATGCAATCTGATCTGATGGCCAGAGATTAAAATGCAATAAAATGAAAGAGCTCAGCTCTTGGGTCACTGGCACCATACTCTGAGTGCTCAGTAGCCATCTGTGGCCAGTGGCCTGTTGTATGGCGCGGCGCCGGCGTAGAACATTTCCATTATCACAGGAAGTTCTATCTCACGCTCGAGGAGAGGACCAGACTCCGCGGTACTGGGGGGGGGGGGCGCTGTGTTCTAGTCGGCAGAAAGCAGATGACAAGGCAAAGACTAACGGAGATGCCAGGAGAATGCTTAGCTTAGCTCCTAGAGAAGGTGGGTGCCCCGATGATGTCTGTGTCACTGCCCTGTGACAGTTACTGGGAGGATCTGTGTACACTCTCCTCTTCCTGAGCAGCTATGAGCTCCCCTGTCTGGCACAGTGCCTGGCACACAGCAAATGCCCAGTACATGCAGGCTTTTGTCATCACCATCATCATCATTCTTAAAAAATTGAACCCAGGGCTTGTGCACTAGTTACATTCCCCAGGTTATCCTTTATTTTTTATTTTGAGACAGGGTCTTGCTAAATTGCCTAGGGTAGGCTTGAAACTTGTGATCCTCCTGTCTCAGCTTCCCAGAGTGCTGGGATTGTAGGTATGTGCCACCATGTCCAGACCATCACCATTACTGTTACCACTGCTATGACTGAGGCAACCCAGGACTGCAGCAATATAGAAAAGGGCACCTGACCCAGGCTGAGGGCCGAGGTTGGCTGAGAATCCACGTTGCCAGAGCCAGGCTGGGTGGCTTTGTGGGGCTCCTCGAGACCAGGCACAGGGCTGGGTCACCTCTGAGTGTAGCATAGGGTTCAGCTGGCATGAACTGGGGCTCAGGAGATGGCTGTGTGAGGCGGCCAAGCTCCAGGAATTCCAGCTTGCATGAGGATATAGACATGACGGACTGAGGGTCACAGAGCCCAACAGGGCACGAGGGGTCGCTCAGAGGGAAAGCAGGAGTGAGGCTGGCCTGGGGACAGCCAGAGTGACAGCATCTTTGGAGCCTCACTGTTTTTACTGGGACGCTTTCCCAGGGCTGCTCTGTGGGATAGAGTACATCTGGGGTCGGGGGCAGCCGGGCACCACCCCCTCGGCCCTGAGTTCAGAGCAGCTCAGCCTGGCTGTTGTGAGGCTCCCTGGGCTCTTTAGGATTCCAGAGGCTCAGAGCAGCCATTCACTGACACCCACTCCAGAGGAGCCGGCTCCTCCCGCCCAGGGCCCGGCCCAGCTGCTGGGATGTGGCTGGAGGGACAGGTTCCAGGCCTGAGCCCTGTGGCCTGGAGGCTGAGTGGGAGTCCCGGAGGGCAGCAGGAGAACGAGGTCCCTGACTGTCACCATGACCAGCCTCTGGGTGCACGAGCTATCGGCCCTGGTCTTCTGATCAAGGTAGGTGTGTGTGCGTGTGTGTGCGTGCGTGCGTGTGTGTGTGTGTGTGTGTGTGTGTGTGTGTGGGAACAGGACCTGGGCGACATCGGGGCTTAGTGAGGGGCTGGGGGCCCAGGACTGTGAGGACAAACAGGTCTCAGCAGGCCTGTCTGGTCCAGCCGTGGGCGGAGGGCAGGTGTCTGCGGCTCGGTGTGCAGTGAGTGCCGTGGGCCGGGTGCGTGGGGTTCAGTGTGAGCGGCAGGGGCGTGCCAGGTGGGGGTGGGTGGAGGCTGAGTAGTCCTGAACACTGGCAGGTGATAAGGCCTGAAGATATCACCTGAGCCCTGGTGGGGACCCTCCTGCTCTTCTGCCTTCTCTGTCCCTACTTCAGACCTTAGAGAGCTGGCTCTAAGATCACTCCCCTCTCCCAGAAGCCCCTCATAGTCAGAAGGAATCCCTCTGGGCAGCTCTGGCCTGGCCCCAAGCAGCATGTCCAGCCCACTGTGTTGAAAACAAAGAAAACAACTCTGTCCCAGAGGATGCGTTCTATGGAGCCTGGGGAGGCACCAGCCGGCCATCTGGGGACCCCGGAGCCCACCTCAGGGAGTGGCCGATCACCCCTACCGGGCCATCTCCTGCACACCTCACTCCCACCTCCTGAAAGCCTTCTCCAGCCTGCCCCGCCCACCTCCGCAGCCCACAGAGCCTTTGGTTGGCGTCCCTAAGTCTCCTTGTCTTAATCTTCCTCCCCTCTGATCCCTCTGTCATGCTGCTTGAGTGACCGTTCCCATGCCCGGGTCACCTTGCAGGACTGAGCATCTTTGCTCTGGCCTGGACCCCGGCTTACCTGCAGCCTTGTCTCCTCCCCACTCCTAGGCCCGGCCTGGGCTCCCTGGGTTTGATTTTCAGGAGGCAGCTGCAGCCGCACTTTCTGGCTTTGGAATTGTCCTGCGCCAGGCCCTGCCTTCCTCCGTGGACGCAGAGACTGGTTCTTGCTTACCCCCATGTTTACCACAGCAGAGCTCCACCCACTTCCCTGCCTGGAGTCCCTGGGAATGGCAGTCTCCCCAAGGCCAGCGGCTGTGGCTTGTTTCCGGGACAGGTGTCCTTCTGTGGATACCCGTTACTTCTCCACTTCCCAACCCCTCCTCTCCAGACCCCCTCCCAGCTCTGTCTCTGACTCCCTCTCCACACCGGGTCAGCCCAGAACTCTTTCTTGATTTGGGTGGGAGCCCTAGATCCAGATCCCATTCTCTTGGTTTGGGTGGGAGCCAGATCCAGATCCCATTCTCAGGCCAACTGGTCAACCCCAGCCTCTGACCCAGTGTCTGTGGGAACCCAGAATCTTTCCACTCCTCCTGGAAGAGAGAGGCAGCTAGGATGTTAGTAGCCACAGTCCTCCTCCAGGGTTCCTGAATGTGTATGTCACCTGCATAGAGTTGTCCTCAGAGAGGGGGCCATACTCAGGTCTGCAGGTAGGGCAGGGGTACACCCCAAGGCTGCATGCTTTCAGGGAGGGACAGCTGGCTCACTGGCTGGTCCCACACCCGGCGTGGGGCAGCTGGCTGGCCACGTGGGTGAGGCTGTGTAGTCTGTAGCAGGTAGGAGTGGTAGGAAGACACTCATGAGAGTCCCCCTAACAAGGTGCCTTCAGGCCAGCAGTGTCAGCCGGCGGTCAGGAAGGGGAGGGTGAGACCTCTGTTGTGGGGAGTGTTTCTTTCCTGTGGTCCCCTAGGGAAAGCTGAACAGCCTGGATGGAACACAACTTTGCCCCTGCCCCTCCAGAGATGCAGCCGCACGGAGTCCCAGGCCCTGGAGCCTCCTTCTCCCGCAGCCACATGCCGGGGCACCCTACTCACCCCTCACGGTTCCCTGGAGGCGTGTCTCCCCTCATCCCTGTCCTCAGGAAGACTGTTCGTCTGGATGCCTTCCCTCAAAGCCACGTCCAGACTTCTGGTCGATCAGGCCTGAGAGCCAGGGCCCGGAGCATGTCCCCACAGGACGCTGGAACCACCCCAGGGGCTCCACTGAGCTCCCTACCTGCCAACAGCCTTGTGCCCAGGAAGCTCAGCTCCATTTCCTTAACGATCCGCCAGAACAGCCACACGCGGCCCCTGGACCCCCCAGTGTCTCACTGGGAAGAGTTGCCCGCCCTGGGCAGAGAGGCTGGCACCCACGGAGGAGGGAGACTGTCTGCTCCAAGTTCACCACCTCTGCCCCTAACGCCAGAGAGCAGGGTCCACTCTGAAGGCCCAGGGAACCCAGGGCTGAGCTCCCCCAGCAGGATACCCACAGTGGAGAAGCCTGTGGTGGGCTCCTATCTGACCTTACCTTTTCAGTCTAGGCTAACCCCAACTTCATCGAGTCTCCCTGGGCCAGGCCCCACGGGGCAAGGGCATACTAGAGCTTCCCCAGGAAGAGGCAAGTCCCGGGCCAGGGGCATTCCCAGACCGCGGCTATGTCCCCAAAGGGCCACCCCTGTTATGAATTTGTCAGCTGTGCACGCAGCAAGGCCAGACATAGCCAGACATTTAACCGCAATGGCCACCAGAGGACCTAGCCTGGCCATCAGTTTGGCCACACCAGACACATCCACACGGGGCACAAGCATAGAGTTCTCCGCTCTGGATACCAAGCGGGGCTCAGCCGCGGACCTGTCTACAGCAGGTATAGCCAAGTCAGGCAAAGCCAAGAACTTGGCCACTGCACGTACCAACAAGTCTGGCACAGACATGAGTTTGGCTACAGCAGAGACAACCAAGCCGGGCAAGGTCATGAATTTGGCAACCACAGAACCAGCCGAGCTGGGCAAATTCCTGGTAACAGCAGATGCTGCCAGGCCAGATGCGACCACAAGCAGCACAGCCTTGGCTTGGACAATACCAGATCCGTTCAAGTTGGGCACAACCGGCTCGGACCCAGCCATGGCTTTGGTGCCAGCAAATACAAGTGAGCCGGGCCCAGCTCTGGACTCTTCTGCTTTGGACAGAAGCAGACTCAGAACAGCCGTGGGTTCAGTGGTGCTGGTAACACCAGAACCTGCCAATGGGGAGACCAAGCCAGACAGTGTTAATAGCCTGACCGTACCTGACACTGCCGTCTGCCCACTAATGATGAGCAGGGGCACAGACACAGCCCAGGACCACGCCACAGTGGACGCTGCCACACGGCCTGCCACACTGGCTGGAGAATGCCAAGGTAAACACAAGAAGGGGCGCTGCCGGAGGGGGCGGGAGGAGTGAGAACGTGGAGATGACAGTGCTTGCATAGGTTAGCAAAGGGAGGGAGGGTTCTAAATTCAGAAATGAATGAAGGGGTTGGGGGAAAAGGGCACAAGGGGCTGAGGGGCCAAAGACAGGGTGCGTAGTTTCCAGCTAGAAGTCGGGCTGAGGGAAGCCGGTGGAAGGCAGGCTTACGAGGGTGACTTGTGGAGCAGCAATCACGCCAAGTGCTCACTTGAGCGCCTCCTGGCCTGTTCTTTGTTCCCTAAAGAGTTTCTGCACTCAGGTGATTAATGGGTGAGTCCCACTGAGCTTCAGTAAGCGGTGATTTGCCTAATAGTAGTCGCCACTGCAAAAGTGGCATGTTGACCTTGGATGAGCCCTAAATCCACCCGAATTCAGCCTTTTATGAAGCTATCTGTTGCTTAAAAGGTGCCTTACCCGGCCTCCCACCTGAGTCTTGAAAAGTAGCTTCGAGACTTGGGTATGTGGAAGTCCTACGCAGCATCATAAACACAAGGGCTGGGAGGTCCCCAGCCATCTCCGAGGGGCTGTGGCATGCCTAAAGCCGCACCAAAGCTGGCTGGTGGTGGTAGTCTGATTGGAACCCAGACCTCAGAACCCTACTTTGGGCAGCCTCATTCCCAACATTTCAAAGGCCCGGGGATTCTGAGTCAGGAGAGAGGTTTGCAAAGCATCCAGCCCGGGGCCTGAATTGGGTCCTTGGCTCGACACCCCCTGGTCATCCTCTGTACTCTCAGACTGGGGACCTCCCGCTGGTCCTGGTCTTTGGTCCTCTCTGTGTGACATCCGTCTTCCCAGGCCTCTCCCCTGAAACGCAGACCCAACAGCCAGTGCCTGCTGGATTCTTCTCCCACACAGCCCTTTTCCCTCCTGCCCTCCCCGACCTCCCTGGGCGCAGGCCCTGCCCACCTTTCATCCTTCGAGTAGAGGCCGGAGTATCCTCCTCTTCCTCCTGTTCTTTCTCCTACATCCCATCCGGGCTATTCCGGTCTTGTTGCTTTACCTCCTCGGCACCTGACCTGGCAGGTGTCTCCATCCCTCGGCCCCTCCCTCCTCCCTCCAGAAGCTGCCACAAGGACCCGTAAGTTTGGTGGCAGCGCCTGGGCTTAGATCGTCACCTCCCTGTAAATTCAGCTCCTAACCCTGGTTTCCATGGCCGGGCTCCTCCAGCCTCTTCGCTGGAACTCTCTGTGGACGGTCTTCTCTCTAGCCGGCCCTGGAGCTCTGGCACCCGGCGGCTCTGGCCTTCCCCTCGAGAAACCCTTGCCCTGCAGCCCTGGCTGCGGAGAGCTCTCCCTCCCACCTCTCCTTGCCTCTCCACTTTGGCCCTCAGCTCCTCCAGGAAGTCTCCCAGACCCGCTTCCTCCTCAGGGCGCCCACCTGCGTGCAGCTTTATTTTCCCCACCGGACCCAGAACTTTGGAGGGCAGGTAGGGTCATCCTCAGCCCTGTGCCCCCACGGCCCGGGAATACGCAGCCCGCCGTTCGTGTTGATGGAATGCACGAAAGATTGTTCGGATTGGTAAACTGAGGCTCCGGGAAATTGCCGATGAGCCCACAGTTACAGGGCTCGTCATCCTGGAGCTGGGCCTGGAACCGGGGCCCCTGACTCAGAACCGCGGTGAGCCAGCGCAGTGTCCCAGCCGCCGCGTGACTCCCGCAGCCCGGGTCCCCGCCCAGAGGGTAAGGGGGTGGGGGCGGGATCCGGGGGAGAGGAGCCGCCGCCGGGCACCCGGAGCGCGGGCACGGCCTCGCGTGCGGGGAGGCGGGGGAGGG